CTTCTCTCTCCCCTTCGCACGACCGCAGCGCCACCTGGCTCTCCCCCCTCTGGGATGCCCCGCACCGCTTGTGCGTCCACCCCCTCCACTCTTCCTCCTGCCACCCCTCGATCGACCTACGTTCGAGGTCTCGCGGGCGAGATTGCCCAGCTCCGGGCCAACCTCGCCCTCTTACGCCTTCAGCCACCCCCACCCTCACAGGTGGCCGCGCCTTCGGGCGCACCCCCTACCTCCTCTACCCTTCCTCCCATGCAGGCTCGCTTTCCGCGCCCTGCACCCTATACAACTCCTTCCTACCTTCTTCCTACTCCCGCGGTTGCTGCGACCTCTTCTACCGTAGCACCCTCGCAGCCTCCCGCTGTTGCCACCGCCGCTCCCCTATGCGGCCCGGGCGCACAGTCAGTTGCGCCCCTTTCTCCAGGACCTGCGCCGACTTACTCAGTCGTGGCACAGGCCTCCGCTCCTCGATCCCCTCGCCGTGAAAACGGTGGCGCCCCACTCATCCGCTTGTCGGACATTGCCCTGTATGACGGTACAGGCATACGTGTGTCTCGGTGGCTGCAGTCTGCCACCCGCACACTCCAACTCATGGGCGCCACACCCGAGACGTGGGTGGGTCACTTCTCCACGCGCCTGCGTGGCGGTCCTTTCGAGGCCTGGGAGGATTTCTATGCCTACTSCCTTCGTGAGGGTCGGACTCCGACCTTCGTGGATTTCCAGGCGTTCCTCGAGGATCGCTTCGGAGCCCGATACGACGTGACTGACGCCTTCGAGCGTGTCATCACTACACGCTGGTCCGACTCTGGTGGCGCTGCAGGCCTGGATCGCCACATCCAGGTCTTTTCAGGACGCCCGCCTCGTTTGCGACGTGGCGTTCCTCTCCGAGGCTGCCCTTATCGATCGTTTCTTGGCCAGCCTTCTGCTCGAGTACCGCTCCGAGCTATGGCGGTACGAGTTCACATCGGCCCCGTAGGCTTACGAGGCCGCCAGGGACCACCAGCGGATGCGAGCCCGTCTTCACCCCGCCTCCTCCTCCCAGCCCCAGCGCACGGGTTACGCCTCCGCCTCCTCTCACGACACTTCCCAGCGCCGTTCCCCTTTCCGCGGTCGGCCCCGCCGTTTCACGCAGCAGGGCCGTCACTTCTCGCACCGCTTCAGCGCGCTGGAGTATGGTGAGCAGGACGCTGTTGCCCCACTGTCGCCTGAGGGCGACCACAGCGACGACCCTAATCTCTGCGAGGCCGTCCACTATCACTTGGAGGACTCTACCCTCCCTGCAGCTGAGCGCCTTCAGCTCGCGCTCTTCGCCCTCTCTCGGGCACGCAGCCGCCCCGGTCACGCTGGCGCGTCGCCCCCCGAGGTCCCTCAGGAGGACCTCCCTCAGGGCTTCGTCCCTCCTCGTGGTGTCCTTTCCGCTGAGGAGCGCACGGCTATTCTGGGCCGGCGTGGGTGTTTGCACTGCCGCTTGGACGGTCATACATTCTCGCGGTGCCCTTACACTACCGCCCTGGACCGCCACTACGCTGACCTTTCTCGTCAGCGTCGTGCTCAGTCCCCCCCCGGCGCCTCACCTCCCCTCGGCGCCTCCTAGCCACGGTGCAGTGTACACCTGCACCCACCTCAGTAGTGGGTTTCGCGACATCTCGGTCGCGGTTCGCCCCTCCCGCTACTGGAGTTGAGGTATCGCAGGACTCGATAGAGTGTACTCAGCCCTCTGTCACAGTACCGTCCTCCGCAGACCATCGTCTCCCCTCCTTCCCCGCCGTGACTACCGACGCGTCGAGCCATTCGCTCAGCCCGTTGCAGCGAGCAACTTGCTACTCGCGAGGACGTTGTGTCCTCTCTTTTAGACTTGAGTATGCTCCAGGCTCGTCAGGAGTGACTCACCCTCCATGTCGTTGCACTGCGTCGCCTTCGCGCCATCCTCTCTGACCCTGATCGCACCCTCCCGATCATCCCAGTACGACTCGGGATCTCCACGAGGGTGTACTCAGCGCTGTGGGATTCCGGTTCTCAGGGCGACTTCATTCACCCACGAGTGGTGAAGGAAGCCCGCTTACCCACGACAGGGTCTCCGACTCCCATCTCCATTACCCTAGGGGATGACAGGACCCAACGCTTCTTCGATAAGACGGTCACCGACCTCCCCTTCTTCCTCACTCTCGAGCCGACTGATCGTTCCCGGCGTCTCATCGCCACCGCTCCTCTGCACATTTTGATGTGATGGAGACGGGGTACGACTTCATTCTCCGCACTCCGTGGTCTTGTCAGTTCCGCAGCACCGAGGCCGATTGGGCGACCAACACTCTCGTTCTCAAAACGAAGTATGGACAGACTTATCGCGTACCTTTCATAGGTACCACGGCGACACCACGCCCCGATCCTCCTCCCTCGGAGCCTTCAGTGCCCACACCATCTGCCTCTATCACGGTCACCTCGCCTCTGCAGTTCGCTCACTTCATTCGACAGAACGACGTCACCTTCTTTATGGTGGACATGACGGATCTCTTATACTATGATCCACCCTGTCCCGACGCCGAGCTCATCCCTCTGGAGCCAGATCCTCCCTCTATCTCCATGGCTCCAATCTCTACTTTCGTCCCTCCGCCGTGCGTCGAGTCCACACGCTGTCTCGCGCTGACGCTGACGCTGAGGAACTCGCACGATATACGACTGACTTGGAGCCCGCAGTTCGTGACCTCATCCGAGAATACCACGACGTTTTTCCATCGTCGTTCTCGTACGCCGGCATCCCATCGATGCGTGACGTCGAGCACTCCATTCAGCTCGTGCCTGAMTATCGTGTTCACCACCAGGCACCCTACAGACTCTCGATCCCCGAGGCCACCGAACTCAAGCGTCAGCTTGAGGAGCTTCTGAGACTGGGTTTCATTAAACCTAGCAACTCCCCGTGGGGTACACCCGTCCTCTTTGCTCGCAAAGCGGACGGAACTCTCCGTCTCTACATCGACTATCCCGATCTCAACCGCTACACGGTTAAGAACAGTTACCCCATACCTCGTTCCGATGAGCTGTTCGACCGCCTAACCGGCAACCGGTTCTTTACGAAGATTGATCTTCGTAGCGGTTACCATTAGATCCGTGTCGCTGCAGCCGACCAGCCGAAGACCGCGTTCCGATCGCGATTCAACCACTACGAGTTCACGGTGATGCCATTCGGCCTCACTAATGCTCCCGCTACCTTTCAGAGGGCGATGAACGACATCTTCAGGGACATCCTGGAGCAGTACGTTCTCGTCTACCTCGACGATATCTTGGTCTACAGTTGTACCCTTGAGGAGCACCTCAGACACCTCCGCGACGTCCTTGACCGCTTGCGCAGACATGACTTCTATGTCAAGTTGAGCAAGTGCCGCTTTGCCCAGCACAAAGTGAATTTCTTAGGAAACTACGTGTCTGACCAGGGTCTCCACATGGACGACGCGAAGATCACTGCTATTGCGGAGTGGCCCGCCCCCACATCCGCCAAGCAGCTTCGCAGCTTCCTAGGCCTGACCAGCTACTATAGTAACTTCATCCGGGGATA